TTCAAACACCATGAAAGTCAGCTCCATTTTCAACTTTAAACAGCACTATTTCTCCTCGACTCAACAGATAAAGGGTGAAATAATTCCAAAGTCGATTCACTGACCATTTTCACTTTTCAAAGATGTTAACACGTACAAAACCAAGAAATCTGCAAGTACGATTTAATAATACACGGAGATAGCTACGTCTACGAGAAAAATCGATAATGATAGTAGATATATTCAAATATTTTCGCAAATATGTATACGACAATTGGTAGAAATTTCACCAACATCAGCTCAATAACTTTACAAATCGACGCTTCTGCTATTAAAATTTTGTGCGCCATCATCATCCACGCACAGCAAACAAACGAGGCCTTCCAAACAAAATCAATTCAACGTGGAGCATTGGAAAATAACAAAATTTTAATACCAACCTCAGAAAACTCTTTTTCTACAATATCGATATATATTTCAGGCACAGTACTTCAGAAAGTACATTTTCGTCGACATGTTTAAACACACATCGCAACCACACTGTTCGATTTTTTTTTCTTTTCAGCCTACGGGGGACAAAAGAAACATACACAAACTTTATGGACGTATGGGCAGAATAAAATTCTCCCCATCTGAAAGGGTGTATTGTGGAGTTACCCCACTTACTTTCCTAAAAAACCGACGTTAGGGGACGCTCCTTCAGCCTATGAAAAGACAGCCATTCACCTTTTCCTTTTTCACTCAGGGATGGTAAGATGTAGATCGAACGAGGAAAACGCTTACCCTCTGTGGAACGCGCGTGCGCACACGTACACATTTTTCACTTGATTTTCTCTAGGACTTTCTCCTCCACCAAGCTACACACACACAAAAACAATTCAATAGTTTAAATGTTTTCTTCATTGTTTTGTAACACGCAACAATATTTTATTGTCTATGTATACCCTTGTTTTGTTAATACATACTTATCGTTTGTATATATATATATATATATATATATATATATATATATATATATATATATATATATATATATATAGTTTTTGTTGTTACTTTGTTAATTTCGTAACCGGATTCACATTCTGGGTCCGACATTTTTGTTCTGGGCTAAATATACTAGGAGGTACATGCTTTCCACCTAAACACATGTACAGTATACTCCCGCAACAATTTCAAGGTCCTTCTACTTTGATATTTTTCTGAAGACCTTCAAAGATACATTACAGTCTGCAGGGACTGCCATGTCAATAAAAAGGCACATTTTGTTTTTTCTGGTATCTGATCACGATGTCTGGGCGATTAGCTTTGATTGTTCTGTATGTGTGTATTGCAAAATCCCGTAAAACTGTTACAGGTCTTATGACTTTAACCGAGTCTGGGTGGTGTTCCTACCAATTTCTTGCAGTTTCCTTTCAGTAAATTATTATTTTTTTATTATCATCATTATATTTCAATTTCAGTTATGGTCACACTACCTACCAAGTCTACGGGAAGACCTAAGGCGGGTAGCGGTGTGTTGCTATGGCTACATTCTATGATTTGTTTTTCTAACTCTCATAACATCACTAGCGTTACATGGACAAAGTTCTTAGTGTGTGGGCTATACTTATCAAGACATTTTTTTCTTTTTCTGTTAAGCTGGGATTTCCCGGGATTTTTTCCAGTGTGCTGTTATGTTCCTTTTTTATCATTCCAAGCACACCTACTATGACTGGTACTATTCTTGTTTTCAATTTCCACATTTTTTTCTATTTCGATTTCCAGGACATTATACTTCGATAGTTTTTCAAATTCCTTGGCTGCTATATTACAGTTCGCTGGGCAAACCATATCAATTAGTGGGCAAGTTTTTTTTCTTTTCGTTTTTTGACAATTTGCTTCAATCTTATAAAAATGTCAGTTTTTATTACTTAGTCTTTAGTATAGTATAAATATATAATCGTCTAGGTTGTTTTTTAATACACGTTCTTTTGAGAGGAGTTTATTATTTATGAAGGTCAGACGGCTTGTGCAAAAAATTGTTACATTTTTATGACGTTTTCGGCTCAACGGTTGAAACGCAAAAATTATTTGTTGAATTGTTACGGATTCATTTTTTGAATTCATAGAGAAAGAAGGTTTCATATTTACTGACCAATGAGAGATGAGCTCTTAAAGCCCTTGTGAAATTCTGGACGGAGCCGGTATGACCCTTCATGGTTCAATAAAAAGGACTGCTATTTAGTAGAAAGCAATAAAATGTCGAGGATGAAAACAGATTACAAACGTAATCTACAGCTTGTCGAACTCTCTGCCTGAAGGCAGAGATGAACCTACAAGAGGCTATGTCGAAGGAGACAGAGTCTCGTCTGGGGAGGTAGTCAGCTACCCGACCCCGTGTATACGCGGTTTACGGGCAATTTTTGCTCGGAATCACCCCACGTAAAAAATCGGCCTCGTGGGGTGGGGGGCTGAGTAAATACCTAGACTATCGAGGAGGAAGCATTAACGCCCACGCTTCAAGGACGGAGGATTTGTCCCGCCAAAGGGATCATAAATCAGTACGGAGAAAGAAAGAGCGGACAGATTCAAATTTAACAGATTCGAGGTACAATTATACTCCCAGGATTGAACATTCATTTCTGTATCCTCCTAAGAATTTAAAACGAACGCACATTCAAGTTTAACTGTACAGCAAAGTACTACAAACTGCCCTTGAAATAACAACCTGTGAAAACATGAAACCCCTTCGTGCTGAGACGTCCCTATTGAGTATTCAGTTGAAGAACTGAGGTGGGTACGTTATGCACTGTGCAATTTTTTACTTCTTTAAAGTTTGTTCCTTTTTTTGCCATTTTTAAAGGATCTACTTTTTTGTCATTGAATTTGAATCCGTGTCTTTTTCTAAAAATTGTAACATTTTTTTGCTTATATCTGATGGTAATCCCCTTTCTTGTTTGTTTGTTTTTTTTTTTGTTTGTTCGTTTGGGGGTTTTTTTCTGTTTTTTTTTTTTTTTTTTTTTTTTTTGTAATGTCAGAAATTTGTTATCCTGTCGTAATAGGCATAAAAGGAAATTTTTGCGCAACTTTATATTTGTACCTTTTTTCTTATCTGTCACTATTTTTTTTTTTTTCGTAATTCTGTAAAATAAATGTGTTTTCCCCATTAACATTTTACGCAGTGATTGTCTTGTAATTTTGCGCCTATTATGTTTTGCTATTCCTACTAGAGACTAAGTTTTTGTTTGTGTTGTGTTGAACTTGGATTTGGTAAGGAATAAAATTTTTATAATGTTTCTGTATGTAAAAATGGTGTCCCATAGAAGTGTGATGTCTTCTATTTCTGTAACCGGTGCTGGGTGATTGCCATACCAGTGTTTATTAACATCTTTTCCAAAGTGTTTGCTAGTTTGCACATTGTGCAGTGGGAATTATTATTGTTGTTGTTGTTGCTGTTAACAACAACTAACATCACGTTTAAAGAATCGAAGAATATATATAACCATTTTTAATACCATTTAAATACCATTTTAGTGTGAACATTTTTTTTTTCATTTTTACAAAGATTATTTTTTTGCGCAGAAGATCAAGAAGGTAATAATTCTGTGACTAGAAATCAATTTACTATTAATTCAATCAGTATTTTTTATCATTTTTTCCTTTTTTAACACTTTCTTTAATTTAATTAATGTTAAAATTAGAATCATTGAAACAAACCTCACTGGGCGAAATTAAATATTTTCTGACAGGTAAGAAAATAATTTAAAAAAGAATAAAACCAATAAATTAAACTAAAAAACGTATCATTTGACGTTTTTAATTAATTTCTTTTTTAATGTAATATAAAAATAAAATTAATTTTATTAAATTTTATGAAAGCGTATAGAATAAAAAATATATATTCTTAAACAATTGTTTATATAAAATTAAAGGTATTTTTAAGCATAAACATTAAATAATATCAATTTCTTGATTGTAAATGTAATGCTGTTGATTCTTCGTAATAAATTTTTACGCGCGCTTTATGTTGACAATAGAAGACTACGCGCGCTTTGAGGGGAGGAGACAATAGCAAATTGCTGTTGTTGACCTATGTCTTTAATGACAACTACCGTGTGTGAATATACGTTATTTTTAGTAATTTTTAAATAATAAGTAAAATCCAGTTAATTAATGTTTAAATTTACTTGGATTTTCAAGACATTTTTTTATTTTTAAATTTGTTGTTTTTATTTTGCGTCTATGATGAAGATTTTATGAGTCAATGAATGATGACTGACAGTGCCAATGTTTTAAAAATGCCCCAAAACTTTATATTCTACATGCCTAAATTTATATTTATTCTTTTTAAATTTTATGGATTTAGACGAGAGTCTTTTTTACTTTTCAAATAAAACCAAAATTTAACTTTAAGTAAGATATTTAAAATTCTTTTTTCTTCTTTTTTAAGAAACTCTATGGTGGTACCTATATTGCACAGATTTCAAAAACTTGAGGCACTTATTGAGAGAAAAAGTTGAGGTCTTCTATTATTTTCCAACTGAATGCGAGATTGGGAATAAATTATGTTGTTACTTCGTTTACTTTTGGGTTTTTATGAACAAAAATTTATTAAATTATACACCAAATTCTAATTGCTTCTCTTTTTGTTTATTTTTAAGAATTAATTCTAATATTGATGGTTTTGACTACTTTTTCCTTAAATCGAAACCCGCACGTAGTAAAGTAAACCAGGTGACGTCATCCACGCGCATGCGCATAGACTTCCGCACCTTAGCGACTACCGATTTCATGGTGACCTGGCTCCATACACCATGACAACAGAGCGGCTCGCCATTGTCCCATCACGTGACAGGAGTCTAAATGTTAGCTTCGCACAAAAAAAACAAAGAATAATTGGCATTTTTTAAGCCATAAAAAAAAAACAACAAAATATTTTTTTAATATCATCAATAAATAAAGATTTCAGTCGTTCGTTATTTTTTCCGAAATATTTCCAAGCTACGAAACTTACGCACCTGTTTCTGAATCCCTAACAGAAAATGGTGAGTAGTATTCACATGTTATCTGAAAAAGAATTGTTTAAAACTTGTTATTTCTTGTTCAATTTCTATATTTCTTCATATTGTTAATCGGTGACGATATACTTAGATTTATAGTGTCAATTTGTCTCCGTTGGCATTGTACTTGACGGCTTTCTTCAGGCTAAAACGGATGCCGCTAAAAAGTTGCGATGTCATTATCAAGCCCCCATTTTCATTTCAAATCAATGGTGTAAAAAGTAATATTATTATTGTCGAAATTAAATAATTTCTCCAGCATTTTATTCTACTTTCTTTTATCGTTTCACTTATAGTGATCTGTTTTGACTGTTCCTTTCTAAGATTTGTCAGCGAATAAATTGGTACTTTATTGAAGAGTTATTTATTTATGTACGATAAATGGTATTATTGTGTGAAAAAGTAAATAAATGGCTTAAAATGTTTATTTCAAAATTGCCCTCTCTTTTAAGAGAAAAGAATAGTTAATACCTTTTTAATTTAATTTCTTTTTTGCAAAATCCTTATTGTGAATTAAAATATTTTATCTTAAACATTTCATTTTAACGAAGTCATCTTTGTTTCGTAAAGTTATTTGTGATTTGGAAGAATTTTTTACACTAACTAAAAAAGAAATCAATTTTTAAAAATCTAGAATTTTGATTTAAGCGTAAATCAGGAAGTGTATTTTGTTGTTTACTATTTTAATAATCGGTATACCTTGCCAAAAGTAAAATAGACGAAAAAAAAATTTAACTTAAATTAACTTTTTAAGTTTTATTTTACTTTGTCAGTTTCTCTTCAATTTTTGGTATTTTCTTTCTTCAAGAATGCCAAAAACCTTAAAACCTATTTATGTTTTTAAGAATACAAGGTCATATGATTTCTTTTTTTACAATAAGAATAAATAATAAATATTTAGGTTGCTTTTTTAAAATAATCTACGAATCAATCAGTCATTGCTTAGGTACTTTTAAAAATACCATTGTTTTTGGGGGGTTTTTTCTTCGTAAACCTCCCATTGATAAACAGTAAAAAAAAACAATTATCGATTGACAAAAAATTAAATAAAAGCAAAACCAGCTTTCAGTAGTTACAACAATTTAAAATATTTTTTTTAAAATTGATTTAGATATTAATAATAAAATAAAAGTTATGCCAGTGCATTTTTTAACGTCATGTATCAAGTACATAGGCAGTCAAGGTCCTCCACATGTTCCCTTTATTTATAAATTGCCATGTCTTCTTGAGAAACATAGTGGTTTTCATTGCTTTCCTTACAGTTTGGAATTAGAGTTTTCCTCCTCTTGGACCGGTTGGTACCCAAGAAGGTTAGAATCCATCTACCCTGCCATTTAACCCATAGCTGGGGTGGAAAAAAGAGGTGGATTCATGCCTTTTGCAAAGGCATTAGTGCAAAAGTGAATTCAACAGACTAGCTTACCAATTCCACTCTCTACTTTGATTTCTGTTAGACCAACCACACATCCTCCATAAAACTTGATCTTAGTTCAACGAATTTTGATAGTTTAAAATGGCATTTTGAATTGTTTGTACAATCTCCAAAGAAAATATTAGATCTTCTTAAAGTTGTCGCAATGTAATACTTAACTTCTAGCTAATAATTAAAACTTGCATATTTGTTATAATTGACTGAAATATAAAATAATTTAGAATATAATTAATATGAAATAACTATCGCTCAATACAATATAATGGAACCTTGCATAATTCTTGTTCAGTGAGTTGTTTTTGATGAAGCACCCTGGTCAAAACCTCATAAAGGTCTCGTTTAAGGTATCTCTATTGCTGCAAAGGATCCTGTATGGTTTTGAATTCAGAGTTGTCTTCCTCATGTACTGATTACCAACCACAGTTAGAGAGCAGATCTGTCTTCTTATTTAACCTATAGCTGGCGGGGGGGGGGGGAGAAGAGATGGATTCATACTTTCCCCAAGGGTATTTGAAGATAAGTTAATGTAACAAACTCAACTGGAGTTCAAACTTGACTCTCTGGGTTCCCATTCCATGCTGCCATCCATTATACCACCCAAACATCCCTAGTCTATTAGACAATAAAAAACATAAACCATTTAATTAACTCCAATAATGAATGTATTTGTTTAACAAACATAAAATTTTTCAATTTTTGTTTACACGTTAGTATTTATTTTGAATTTTTGTAAGAAAGCTTTTTTATTATTATTTTATTAGTGGTTTTATTCCATTTTATTTGTTGCTTTTTATTGCAACACTTTTATACCCTTTGACTAAGAGATCAGACAAAAGGAAAGCAAGAATGAAGAAATTGCTTTTAATGAGACTTGAACTCACATCCTACACTTTGAGACAAGTTTCTAAAATACATGATGTAAGTTCAAGTCATTACCAAAACCTACTACCTTATTTCCAATTTGCATTTGAAAAGTAATTGATCCACAGCATTGTGATCAAAAGCAAAAATAAGATAAGGTAGGGTTAGTAATAAAATAATAATTGTGTTTGTCCCTCTCTTCATTAGTTTGCACGACCATTACACTCTGTCAATACCTCATAAATAATGGACTATTCTATTCTGATCACTTGGAAAGACAGGACATATTGGAGACACTACTTGGTTTCATTGGGGAAAAAAAGAAAGAAAAATAGAAATGTTTAACATCTGCTAATACCTTGTAAATAATGGACTATTCTATTCTGATCACATGATAAGACAAAATACATATCAAAGACACTACTTGGTTTCAGTCAGAAAATTAAAGAAAGAAGGGAAAATAATGACCAACATTTATATTTATGATTGTCATTGCATTATTTTGCTAAAGTTGTTAATCTCAAATATTTAATGATGTAATCAGGAAATTTCTACAGATATTTTATTGTAGAACTTGCCATGAGCTTATTCAATCATTAACTGAAGAATTAAGATTCATCAGAAATTGGAAATAGGAAAACCGTGAAATTTTCACTAATAAAAACTAGTAAATATTAATAGGAGTAGATATGTCCACCTATTGTCCAGTTTATACTCCTCCCCAGTCTTTTGAACAGGAGTAGAGGTTTATCTCTTGTTTCCAGTTCCTTCTAAAGTCTTCTTATTCTCTTTCACTCCCAGTAACCCCTTGCATTTTAGTGGCATTATCACCTTGCTTGGGGTGAAAAAAATTTTTTAAATTTGTTTCAGATCTACTTTATCTGTATTATGTTTGCTATCAAATTATAATCTTAAATCTTGTATAAGTAGCTTGGCTGCAATTGACCTCAGTATTTGAGGTCTATTATATATTATGTTGTCTTGTGGTAGACTGCATACTACAATAACAACATAGATTCTTGAGTATAAGGAATAAGATTTGTATTAGATTCTCTTTTTCTATACATAAATAAGAAAGTATTGATTACACACACATTACGATACAAGAACATTTAGTTTAAACAAAGCAGATTTTTAAAAGCATTATTGAAAATTAGCCTGACTGTTATAAAAAATGACAAGCAAAATAGATTTATTAAACTATGGTGAATAAATCTTTGTCATTTTTTAGTATTAGTTTAATAAATAATTGTTTTTACTACAATGTTTCAGCCAATAAAATTAATTAAGAAACCTGATTGTCTATAAAACTGGTGGAAAGGCAAAAACTTGGGTTCTTATTTTTAATAATTTAAAATTTTATTAGTTAAAATTACTCCTTTTTTTAGATTATATGTTCATCTATGTTCATAAGCCTGGAAATATATTTGTTTATTAAATGAGATGGAAGCACAGTAGATTATTGAATTGTGGCACAGATTGAGGAATTGGAGAGCTGAGTTTGAATTCCAGCCAAGTTCATGACATTCACTTATGTGCTAATAATCTTTGGAAAAGTATGAATCTATCTCTTTGCTCCCCAGCTATGGGTAAATAGCAGGACAGACTAGGTTCTATAGCTTTGATGGCAACCGGTCTAGGAGAAAGAAAACTAAATTCAAACCATCTTGGAGGATGTTGGGCTCCATCAGGCTATCTTACACAAGCCACATCACTTCTAATGTGGCTGAATTACATGTGGTTCCCCTACGACTCTTATGAGTTACTGGACTTGTGATTATGTGATATGACATGATAATATTGTCACTAATTTGATATATATCGAATTTCAGAGAGACTTTAAAGAACACATTGGTTATATAAAATTATACAAATCATTCGCTAGGTGTTATATTCAAAATGAAATTATTTTTAAATTTAAAAATAAATAAATCAAATTTAGATGTGTTTTTGTTAATGCTAAAAATAACATTTAGTCAATATAAATTCATTTGTAATTAAAAACATAAGTAAATATTTGCTAGATTTTGATAACTTTTATTTAAATAAAATCCTAAAGGATAATGAATGGCAAATCATGACAAACATGTTTCTTTAAATGCTGTTTTATAACATACCTTCAAGTCAAACACCAGACTTGTTTATCATAATACTTATATTCTAATCATCATTTCATAATGTTCTCTTAATGAACTATATACCTTCTACACTACAGCTGATAAAAGTGGAATTTGTATAGGTCCTACTAACTAAATGAATTATATCATTAAAATAATTTTGTATCAAAAGATCTTAATGTTTAAATCAAATATGTTTTGTTTTTACTTATATCATACTCTAGTATCTTTTGATGATCGTAACTCTTCTTCAAATTTTTGAGTGCTACTGATTGAGTTCTTTTTGCTTCTTAATACATTATAATCAACAACTGACAGTCATTCATTTCTGGGCTTTATTTGAAAAGACAAGTGACCACACCTAAAACGCTTAAACCAATTTGGGACAGGATGGTCAGATTTGTTTCAATTCCTTTTTACTTCCAGGTTTCTGTAAGCAGCTTCCAGGGGCTTTGGTAACCAGTTTCAAATAATGCCTCTTTATATTTGTGTTGTAGCATACCTATGAACAATAATGGGTATGTCCCCATTCACATAAATACAGTAGTAAATACTGTATGTTGTTCTGCAGTTGGAGATTCATTGTTGAATTCACTTGACTCACTTCTAGCAGTTGACTACTACTTCTGTGCGCTGCTGGTGAATCTTATATATGTTGTTCTTGTCCTAAGTATTATCGTTCATTAGCAAACTTTTGTGTGATTATTCTATTCAGTAACCTTCCCTAGTTTATAACAATTTGTATCTGCAATTATAACAACTGAAACAAAATTTACTATGGAACGGTATTAATATATATGATTTGTATATTCCTTTTTTATGTATATAAGAACTCTGTATTATAAATATGTTTAAAAGTGTTTTTTAATGCACATAATAAATTTTTTATTTTTATTTACCCATAAACAGAGTGTTTTACAAATTTCAGTGCAATTTTTTAAAGTAGGCATTTGTTTCCCTTGGACATTCCCAAGCTCTAGCATTTTTTGTTTTGTTTTTTTTTGTGCACTTTTCAAAAAAAAATATATCATTGTGCTAACAGTTCAAAATAATTTAATTCCTTTTGTTTATTAATCCATTCCTGTTCTTGGATATTTTCTTCCAATTTCTGCCTCTGGTTCTCTTCATCTTTATTATTTTCTATTCTGCTACTGGTGTTTTCTCTTTCATTTTTTTTGTCCTTGTATGTATTTTGACAACATGTTGTTATTTCTATATCTTTTCTGTTTGAATTCTAGTTCTCCATTGTTGTCACATTCATCTTTCATATAACACATTCTTCTTCCTGTCATTATTATATAATAGAATGGAGTCACAGATAATCTTTAGATGTGTACATGAAATAAGGTTTGTCAGAAAGATCTGTTAAAAAAAAATGAAAATACTTTTGATACACCCTCATAAATAAACTATTAATCACTATAGTGAAGTCTTAGTCTTCAGAGGTGTATATGAAAGAAGCTTTTTGGAAGGATCTGTCAGAAAAACAAAGATACTTTTTTGTATGCATTCTAATAGTTTAGATACAAAATTATGATTATTAAAGTGAGAGAGAAAGCAGGGTAAGAAGAAATATAACTTAAAAGTATAGCAAATAAGTCTAATTTTCACTCAATAACAATATCATCTAACTAAATAGAAGTAATGCAGAATTTTAAACTATTTATAATATTATAAATTATTATAATTAAAATTTTAAAAAATGAAAACAGTTCTTGTAAAAATTCATTATTCATTGAAAAAGATTTACCACAGTGTCCTTAATAAATCTTATTTATAAAAGCAATTAAAAGATTTTCTAATTAAATAATGTCAGCTTTATTGCATTCTTTATTTTACGATTCAGAGCAGATTTTTGGTAACTCTGAGTCCTGTTTTACAAAAAGAAACTAATGATTTAAATTCTTGAAGGAGTTCTGCTTTTAACTAATAAAACAAATTTTAAAATTGCAGTTTAATTTCTTGAAATTTCATGAAATTAAGTAAGTGGTAGGAGTGGGGGGTAACATGAAAAAAAAAAGAATTACCAAAATTTTCTAAACAATAAAAAAAAAGATGAAATCAAATAATTTAATTCATTTGTGAATAATTACTGAAAGTTTCATTAAAATCTGACAATTATTTGATTTTTGCAAGAATTTCCAAATCGGTGTGTTTTTTCACCTGAAAAAAAAGGGAGTGCAAAAACGCTAATTATAAATCTTACATCGACTTCGAATGAAAAAAAAATTTTAACCAAAATTTTGAACATTCTAGAAAGGATTAAAAAATTTAATAAACTAATAAAAAATACTTTGGTCTTTCCTCTTAATAATAACATAAACATTTTGATGATATCACTTTGTTTTTATTGAGTTGGAGGGCTTTTTTCATCATGCCATGTTGTTTTTTCAGTGAAGAGCAAGTGCCAGTACCTACATAGCAGTGTAATCATTATTTAAAACATATTTAATGCTAGGGTAGAAACATAATGCTCTCAAGGGGATAAGGTATATTCAAGAAAAACATAAATCAAAATCATTCTTTACCTTATATTCCATGATTTTGTTTGTCATTTAAAATTTCAATTAAACCCCTTTTTCTTTTATTTTCTGAACTGTTTTTTCCTCATCTGTTTTTCTTTTTTCCTTATCAGGCTCGACGTTATGATTCGCGAACAACTATCTTCTCACCTGAAGGTATGGAAAGCTTTGCCTTTCATTAAAATATTCTAATGGTTTGTTTAACACAAATTTACAAAGAATCCAGCTATATATAGCGATTTACTATGTGTAGGTAATGTCACAAAGCCTAAAGTATGGCACACCCAGTCAGAGTTGAACTCACTATTCAGCCATAACTGATCTAGCAAGACATGCTTGCTAACTATTACACCACATTGAAGTGCCCAATTCTAGCTATAGGTTCTTAGATTTCACCATTCTTAGCAGATCTTCTGTCATCACAATGTAATCTATTTAATAACAAAGATGATGAAAACAAAAGCAAAAAGAATCCAAATGAAATTAGTGAGATTATAGACTCAAAACACACAAAAAAAAATTATTTTTTTTAAATTTGAATTTCCCAGCATGTCTCGTTCATGCACATATGTAGTCACCTCAATGTAAACAAACCTAGTTTGATAAAGTCACATGAAAACCTTTTCCACTTTGTCATACAGCTTTCTTCCATATATGTATAAATAATAATTTATACATATCTTCAGGAGAAGTAATTACCTATTTTTAGTATTAGGCTTCTTAATATCGTGAATAACAAGCTTTAATGTCACATGGCATCTTAAGAATCCACCAATGATTAGCATGCTAGTGACTCAACTCATTACAAGTAAATTCAGTTTTCATCAAATTCTCTATGAAATTGGCTTTGTAATTTCTGTACCAAAACAGTGAATTTTTGTTTTGGTTATTTGATTTTTAGGATATTCTAAATCTGTAGCAAACAATTCTTTCTAAAAGTACAGTTTTGCAGAAAATATATTTTCTTTTTGTTCTCTTAGGCCGCCTGTACCAGGTGGAATATGCAATGGAAGCAATTGGCCATGCAGGATCCTGTTTGGGTATCCTGGCCTCAGATGGTGTTCTCTTAGCAGCTGAAAGAAGAAATGTCAACAAACTGCTGGACGAGGTTTCATACTCTGAGAAAATTTATAATTTACATGAGTAAGTAACCCTCTTTTTAACATTTTGTTTTATTTATTCCCTGGTCTGCTTTATTCAGATGTATGATATGTTACTTGGTTTGTGTGTGTGTTTATGGCATTTATCTAGTCAAGTGTGGAACCATTCTACTTTTTAGTCAGTTTGTTATGTTGAATGCTGACCTGAATGTGACTCTTCTTCTATTTCAGCTAGGAGTGACATAATCAGTACTGACTTTATGCTTTTTTTTTGCTTTTTTTTTTTTGTATGTAGCTTTGTTTGATACATGCTTTGAGACATTGATCAAAAGAAGATTGTTCCTCTCTTTCTCTCAAACATTCACGCACACATTTCTTTACTTTTTAACAACATGATATCAAATCTATAATATTCCAAAAATTCCACCCCAGCAAAGTTCAATAATGGTGATAAAGAAAAAAAAAACTCTGTAACAAATTTGGCCATGTCAATAAAAAAAAAAAAAAAAAAACACACCTGACTTCCACAAAAACATAAATTTATTGGAGATGTATTTTTAAAATAGCTTGCAAAGCACAGATTCATATAACCTTTAACTGCCAAACCAAAAATTGCTTTGGGGATATTTTTATTTTATTCTGGAAGTCATATGCATCAAAGGCAATGGTTGAAGTACAGAAAGCTGTCAGTGGTTGTGTATGTTGCAATTCAAACGAGGACCTGCAATCATCTCAAACTGAAATAAGCATCTGCTAGAACAATTAAAAATAAACCAATTCTGTTTCCATATTGATAGACATAGAACTCTAGCTATTTCTGTACTACCAACATGGAATTCTGGATTCATTAAAAGGCTTTGCCTTTCTTACTATCCAAAAAAAAAAAAAAAAAAAAAAGAAGGAATATTTACATATGTGGATTATTGCTTATGCTCTCTGCCCTCTCATTCTTTATTAACAATTCCCTAAGTAGCTGAATAATTCCAACAGAAATTATCATGTACAATAATCATTTAAGATTTCTGAAATATCATAAATGTTGGGAATCACAATTCTATCAATCAAATAGAGGATGATTTTTGCTTAGAAATAAGAATAATTGTTCTGCATTTAATTAACATAAAACATCAATGTTATTTTTATCTGTGATTAGATGAAAGCTTTGTCAATCATACTGGCTATTTAAATAGGTGTCAAATTAAACTCTCAATAAGAGCTTTTCATTTATTTCCAATATGTAATGTCTTGACAGTTTATGTAAAGTTTCAAATAAAAAAAAAATGCAGTTAAGAATTAAAATGGAAATAAATAGTAATCAAAATATAAAATGGTCAACAAAGATATCTACTAGCAAAATCCATGGTTGTTTTCTTGTATCTAATATGACCAACTGATGTCATATACAGTGTAACCCAGATATAAGAGAGATTTTCTCTGGTCCCAAATTAGAGCCTGTGTTAATGTATATAAAATAGACCAAACCTGGATATAAGAGAAACCCGGATATAAGAGATTTTCTCTGGTCCCAAATTAGAGCCTGTGTTAATGTATATAAAATAGACCAAACCCGGATATAAGAGAAACCCGGATATAAGAGAGATTTTCTCTGGTCCCAAATTAGAGCCTGTGTTAATGTATATAAAATAGACCAAACCTGGATATAAGAGAAACCCGGATATAAGAGAGATTTTCTCTGGTCCCAAATTAGAGCCTGTGTTAATGTATATAAAATAGACCAAACCTGGATATAAGAGAAACCCGGATATAAGAGAGATTTTCTCTGGTCCCAAATTAGAGCCTGTGTTAATGTATATAAAATAGACCAAACCCGGATATAAGAGAAACCCGGATATAAGAGAGATTTTCTCTGGTCCCAAATTAGAGCCTGTGTTAATGTATATAAAATAGACCAAACCTGGATATAAGAGAAACCCGGATATAAGAGAGATTTTCTCTGGTCCCAAATTAGAGCCTGTGTTAATGTATATAAAATAGACCAAACCTGGATATAAGAGAAACCCGGATATAAGAGAGATTTTCTCTGGTCCCAAATTAGAGTCTGTGTTAATGTATATAAAATAGACCAAACCTGGATATAAGAGAAACCCGGATATAAGAGATTTTCTCTGGTCCCAAATTAGAGCCTGTGTTAATGTATATAAAATAGACCAAACCCGGATATAAGAGAGATTTTCTCTGGTCCCAAATTAGAGCCTGTGTTAATGTATATAAAATAGACCAAACCTGGATATAAGAGAAACCCGGATATAAGAGAGATTTTCTCTGGTCCCAAATTATAGCCTGTGTTAATGTATATAAAATAGACCAAACCCGGATATAAGAGGATATAAGAGAGATTTTCTCTGGTCCCAAATTAGAGCCTGTGTTAATGTATATAAAATAGACCAAACCCGGATATAAGAGAAACCCGGATATAAGAGAGATTTTCTCTGGTCCCAAATTAGAGCCTGTGTTAATGTATATAAAATAGACCAAACCTGGATATAAGAGAAACCCGGATATAAGAGAGATTTCTCTGGTCCCAAATTAATTAGAGCCTGTGTTAATGTATATAAAATAGACCAAACCTGGATATAAGAAAACCCGGATATAAGAGATATTTTCTCTGGTCCCAAATTAGAGCCTGTGTTAATGTATATAAAATAGACCAAACCCGGATATAAGAAAACCCGGATATAAGAGAGAGATTTTCTGGTCCCAAATTAGAGCCTGTGTTAATGTATATAAAATAGACCAAACCTGGATATAAGAGAAACCCGGATATAAGAGATTTTCTCTGGTCCCAAATTAGAGCCTGTGTTAATGTATATAAAATAGACCAAACCTGGATATAAGAGAAACCCGGATATAAGAGAGATTAGCCCATGTAAATGGGAACTGATGTTAAATGCTGATTTACAAAATGTGTGACGTTTTGTGTCTCCAAATAATGTTTTTCTTTTTGGCAGTGATATGGCTTGCAGTGTCGCTGGGATTACGTCTGATGCTAATGTCCTCACTAATGAACTCAGACTTATTGCACAGAGGTAAAGAAAAAAATTCTTTAGTTTTCTATTTTTCCTTCTCTGTAAGGGTGTTAATGTATGTGTGTGTGCATATATATATATATATATATATATATGTGTGTGTGTGTGTGTTTCTTACCTCATCAATAAATATTGTTATTTGTTGACAATGATTTTTAACAAATTTTTCTACCTAAGATCTAGTCTGGTGATAATCTGAGAGAAGAAAGAATGAGTTGTTTTAAATTTAGCCAATGTAGTTGAGATAATTGAACCCTTTGTATATTTGTTGTTGTAACACATTTTGGTCAATTCATTCTTCAGCTGTCAGGTGGGGTGTAATGGATAATGGCTTGGAATGAGAAATTGGAGAACCAAGCTCAAATTCCAATCAACTTCATTACATTCACTTACACACAAATAACCTTGGGAAAGGTAGGATTCTGTCTTCTCTCTCTCTCCCCCATCTAATGGGTTAAATAGTAGGACTTGTATCTGGGGAAAAAAACAATTATTCTTACAATCACCCAAAAATATGTTTTGACTTTAAATAACCAACAAAGTGTTGATAAACGGTAAAAAAAAAAAAAAAATAAATAAATAAATAAAATCAACTTGTCAAGTGAGAAAAAAGGGAACTTTTTCTTTAACACCCCCTTAATATCATAGAGCATTTGAATATCCCACAAAATGTTTTTCCTTAATATTTAGCAACTGCCAAACTTTTTCAAGGAGTTTAGTCATAATACCTGTGTGAATTACAAGCAAGGTAAAGACAAGATTCTCTGTAAAGGTGGTCAAAATGTATAAAAAGATCACAGTAAACCTTGTTCATTGCTTGGAATGTGGAAAAAACAGTTGACGAGGAGTCTATTCATCATGAATTGTTTTAGATCATACCAAAAATAAGATCAAACCTATTTTTGCATATTTTAATTTTCAAAACTTAAAATTCCTTTACTAATATTCACCTTTTAATTTGATTTTTCAAAATAGAAACTTTTTTTTTTTATTTATCCAATAAAACCCAGAAAGAATGCTCAAGACAATACATAACAAGAAAATTTAAAACTAAATTTTTATTTAAATAATGTGATATATATTCGCTATCTTAACATTTTTGTATTTGGTGAAATCTACTTTTGCAAATGTGAGGGTTTTCAAAACTTCTTTATCAAAATATGAAAATACCTTTTTAAATAACTTCATCTTTTTTTTCTCTCCTCATCACTTTGAAGGTATTTATTGCAATATGGTGAACCAATGCCCTGTGAGCAGCTTGTTAGTGCACTCTGTGACATCAAACAATCCTACACACAATTTGGAGGTAAGTAGCAACAGTATCATGGTTTAGCCATGAAAATATCTACTCATTTCCAGCTGCTGCAGTTGGTTAAATTTTGATTGTAAAATAACCTAAATATTTGCTGTTTACAACTTGGCTTCATATTTAACACTTTGTGATAAAATCATGGAAAATACATTTTACTTATCAAATTACAATAATTTAATATAAAGAATAAAACTTTTTAAAAATTTGCATAAAGCTCAAATTTTGGGGAATAATCATATCTTACAATGCAGTATTTTCTGAATTGAAGTCACAGAAATGAATGGCAGAAATGATTTTGTCTCTTTCTTGTACAGAGAGTAAAATAGTTATGTTTGTTTTATTTCAGGTAAACGTCCTTTTGGTGTCTCAATTTTGTACATGGGTTGGGATAAACATTATGGCTTCCAGCTTTACCAAAGTGATCCAAGTGGTAACTATGGTGGATGGAAAGCAACTTGTATTGGCAACAACAGTGCAGTAAGTACAACATTTCAACCCTTATTCATTTGAATTTTTTTACCTGGATTTATAGACAAGTTTTTTGGATTTTATTTCTGCTTACATCTACATATTGTTCTTTCTACTTTCATTATTTTTACTTATTTGTGTGAATTTCAGCTTATAACATCTTTGTATACTATCTTTGATAATAACTTCTTTTGTGACTGTCAGATTTTTATTATGCAAAGTGCAATATAAAGTTTTATTTATGAATATATTGAAAAGATACAAACCATTTCATTAATATAGGTACCTCCACGAGATCGCTAAAAAAAGAGCATAGCATGATGAAAAAGACGCCAAACTTGACGAAAACAAAATTTTATCGTCTAAATGTTTGTTATTCATTAAGAGGAAAGGTCAAAGTATTTTTGGGGTATTTTTTTCCATTTTTTAATCGTTCCTAGCACGTCCGAAATTTTCGTTAAAAATCTAGTTTTTTTTTGAGTCAGCAAAATTGACCATTTTTTTCCATTTAAAAAAAAACTGGAAATCTGACTTTGAAATTTTTTAAATATCAATTATCATTTTTTCAAAACTTATTTTAAGAAAATCAGAAATTATAATGTTTATTTAAAATATTTTGAACCAAACTTAACTTAGCTTTTGTGCCAAAAAGATGTAATTTGAAAATAAAACAAAGCAGGTCATAAACTTTTCGTCTCTCTTGACATGTGATGAATGATATATTTACGAATTCCATGAGGCTAATTTGTCCTCACTGGAAGGAGAAAAGTGAAATAATTTACATTTACGTGAACAAATTATTTACCCGTTATTTTAACGAAAACTTTCAGCGGTCTAATTTTTTTTTTTTTTTTTTGTACTTAGCTTTCACCTTTACGTTTATGATGCTTTATGGGAAATATATTGTAAAGAAATTAAAATAAAACTGTTAAGAGTGACATTAAATTTCATATTTCTTAAGAAAGGTATCTAATTAATTTATAGGTACCTTTCTTATGAAATTTTATCAGAATTGTACATAAAATACTATAATTTTATGTACATTTATTACATTCTACTGTTATTTGTATTTGCATTCATTTTATTATTAATTTTGATATTTCATTTATGGAAAAATGTCGTAACTGAGATTAATATAAAAAATAAGATCATATAAATTTCATAAGATGATACTGATACTTGTAGGTAACCTTCTCAGTTGAAATTGAAAATCAAATTAACTTCTCCACACGTGTTTCACAAAAGTAAAGGCCTTAACAGCGGAGAACAATGCTTAACTCAAATAACGCAACTTAATTATATTCTGGTTGGTCTTCCGTATTTTATAATTACAGCTCGATTATAAGCACAAAATTACATTTCTTAATTACTGGGGATCTTCTGATTAGTCAAAATGATACAATTTACAACGCGCTAAAAAAAAAGATCTATCTCATAAGGACACTTATGAAAGCCTGTGCGGCTTTTAACTAATTTTATAATATTTTAACAACTTAAATGTAAAATCTATTATAATTAATGAAATAACAAATAATTGTGTTAAAAATTCATTTTCATCGGAAAAATTTTTTTGCTTTCAGAAAATATTGTCCATATTCATAAAAACAACAAAAAGCAAATAAAAGCATTTGAAATTAAATAATATATTTGTTTTATTGAGTTTTGTATGTTACAATTCAGAGCTGATTTTCAGGTACTGGGTTTCCAATTAAAAACAAAAAAAAACATGATTTGCATTCCTCAAAGCCCTGTGCTTTTAATTATTGTAATCACTAAAACCGATGCGATCAAATTTCTAGCGTTTTCATAAAATTAGTTATGGGGGGGTAATAAATATTTTTTAAAAATATTTCTACCATGACTTTCATTAAAAAAAACATATTTATAATAATTTCGATCATCTGTGAATAGTTCCTGAAAGTTTCATTAACATCCGATAATTATTTCTATTTTTGAACGATTTTTCAAATTAATGTGTGTCATACCAAAAAAACGTGCTAAAAATTGTCTATGTTTTTTACTAGTTCCGCTGATACAAATAGAAACAAGGTTTTTTTAATCAAAATTTAGAATTTTCTAAAAAAAAAGGAAAATTTTTAAAAATAATTAAAAAAACTTTGGTCTTTCCTCTAAATAATAACATAAGCATTTAGACAATAAAATTTTGTTTTTCGGCAAGGTTGGCGTCTTTTTCATCAAGCTATGCTCTTTTTTTAGCGATTTCATGGAGGTACCTACATTAATACAACATCTCATATACCTAAATAAATTATTATTTTGTGTTAATATGGGCCCTTGACATTCTATAACCTTCATCAGTTTTTCATTAACTTTTTGGCAAACATAGACCTTTGTGCCCACAAAAAAACTGTCAAAGTTTTTTTTTCCTATGATACTGCTTTTATTTTAACTATCTTCACTCTTTGGCAATGAATGTTTATTGTTCTAAAAAGTGAGGGTTGGAACTAGAATAGAACCAAGACATAATGAAAATTAATTTATACTTTATTTTCTTTTTTTCTTTTTTTTTTTTTTTTTTGCTCTTGAGAATTTACAACAAAAATATTAAACACTATTTATTAGATTGTTTATTTACAACATTCTAAAAACTAACACAATTAAAACTAATGTAATGCAGTATTTATCATTTACCAATTTATAACAAAATAAATATGAAAATATTCAACATTTTATAAAGTTCAAATCAATTGGCAATTAGCCAATGTTTTGCCAATCAGTCTAGTAAATGAATAGTGTAAATAAACAATCTAATAAATAATTATGTTTATTATTTTTCTTGTCAATTCTCAAGAACAAATAAAATGTATGAATTTTGTTTTATTACAATTCTAATCATTGCATTTTAAAATAATAAACATTGCCAAGGAGTGAAGGTAGTTAAAATAATAGTGTTGTCATTTTAGCACCTTTTTTTTTTTTTTTTTTTTCCCCAGGCATCATGAATGTCCATGTTTTGCCAACTTTTCTATTTTGACTTGAACATTGCTTCCCAAAGATCTTTGCTTGTTTATTGCTTTTCATTCTTGTATACAACAATAATGAATCACAAGTTTCTAATTAGATTAATATCTGGAGAGGCTGCAAGGCCATTCCATTAATTTAGTATATTTGAAATCTTTTTGGGCAAGGTGGGCAATAGTTAGCTTTACAGAATGTGAAGAAGCATTGTCCTGCATGAATATATTCTTTAGCTTAAAGCTTTTTGCTTGGGATTTGTAGCACCCAAAAACAAATAAAATAATTTGTCCAAGAAGTTACAGTAATTCTCTAGGTTTATCTTGAACCATCATTAATTTAAAGAGGCCCAACTTGTAGCCTTGTTATCAGGTCCATCCAATTTAGCTCTACATTCATCACTAAAATTAGTTTAGAAATCAGGTTTCATGTGCTACTTTGCAAAGTTACACATTTCTCTTTTGTGATGTTTACTTAACAGATGGTAGTTTGGTTCCTTTCACATCTTCAGCAAAATGTTTTTAATATTCTGCATCTTTTCTCTTTTCAAAGATTACTTTTACATTGTTAAAGCCAGTTTTTTCTTGTTTTATATCTTCTTGCCAATGTTCTATGATCTTCATTCAATGTTTTTAAAAATATCCAACCTTCTACTCCCATTACTTAATCACTACAATGTCTTGTTTCTCTTGAGTTTATATCTTTCTTACAATCCATGGCGGTCTTTATATTTCAGAAGTTTAAAAAAAATAGATATCAATATATACTTAATAACCCTTGATTTCCATAATCCCATACAACCAAATAAGTTGTTTTTATTTCTAATAAAAACAAATCAGCTAAAATTCACCTGATATGTTTATCATAAAAATATATTCTGAAAATTGTACCAACATCAATTGGTTAATACCAATTTTATTATGATAAACATTGATTTACATTTTAATCTGTCAGTGTCTATAATTAATAATTTATATACTTGTTGCATTCGTGTTCGATCTTGTTGGGACAAAGACAGGTGGTAAAAAGTAATTTGTAAGTGAAGTTTGTCTACAAGTGAAACTGGATGATTCATACAATATTTTTCTTAAAGTGTGATGTTTAAATGTTCATGTACACTGACCTACCACAAAGACATGTCTTGTATCAGAGGGCAGTAACTCAACATAGCATCAATTCTGCAAGTGGCTGGAAGACTGCTGGAGAGGTGTTGGGACATGCCTACTCAATAGCTGTCTACAGTTCCCTGATATTTGTAAGTAAAGAATATGTTGTCTGTGAATAGACCTTTCTACCATCTCCCATTTATGTTCAATTGGGCTTGTGTAAAGGTGACATCATTCTTCAGAAATCTCCAGAATGCTCCCTAAACTAATTCTGAGCAACTTGGGCAACCAATGACAGATTCTTCTTGCTAGAATAATCCATTGTCGTTGAGTTGATGAATGGCCATGAAGCAGAACAATGTAGTGGTCACCAGTCAGTGACACATTTAAGCAAACCCAATACATACCATATGAACACACCCAACATTATGGAACTACCACCAGCTTGTACAATGCTTTGTTGACAATTAGGGTCTACACTACATTCAAACATCAGTTTGAAACACCAAGGGTTGGCAACCTTTTGCTAATTATGTGCTGACTTAGGATTTTAAAATCATTCAGTGTGCCAACAGCATACGTATTTTTATATGAGTCACAGTCAAATTACCTGTTCTACAATATATTTTATATTGTAATATATAGTATATTTTAAAATTGAAACAGCTAAATATCTTCTTTGCATTGTAGTAGTCATTGGTTAGGGGCTTCGTGATGTCATTTGCAGCAGTGTGCCATTGGAAATTGCTTGGCGTACCACAGGTTGACAACCCCTGACTTAAACGACACAATGACTTGTCAGTGTCTCCACTATTTGGACCCTGGAAGACTATGTCCTGGTGACCAGTTAGACATGTATTTGGTACCTTCAAGCATTGAATAATTTTCAACAATGCATTTACTGGACAGGAAATATATTTAATGTTTTAGCAACAAATTTTAATTTATTGCTTGCTGGGACATGTTTCCTGGATCCTGTCTTTTTGTCAAAAATGATATTTTTTGTTTTATATTTTCAATTAATAATCTTTGGTCTTAACTCATTTTTTCCTGTTTCCTTTGAATTCTTCTATTTCTCAACCAGATTATGAGAGTAAAAAAAAAAAATACTTAAAGAAATCCCTGATTAAGCATATTTTTTTATCTTGATATTTTCAGAGTGCAGTGTCTATGTTAAAACAAGAATACAAAGAAGGGGAGACAAATCTAGAAGAAGCCCTGCGACTAGCAATTAAAGTTCTCAGCAAAACTTTAGATATGACCAAACTAACATCAGAAAAAGGTGAGTGCTTTTTCAGCCAGCTATTCTAATCTTTACCACAGACTCTAAATATCAATACTTATCTAAATTGTTTTTCATTTCTTAACATCTTTAGCACAATGTGTAGGTGTATAGGTCAGGAATAGAACAATGAGGAAAGCTGGTATTACTCACAGCATTGAACAGAGGAAGAAAAATATGAGACAAGTTGTGAATTTCATAAAGGTGGACATTAATTTATATTTTGTTTGGCACTTAATGGGTAAAGTAAACAATGTTGAAATCCTTTAATGTTATGAATCTATATTCAACACAGTTTTCATTTTCTTTTTCAAATTGCAAGCTGCTTTAATTAATTAGCAGCCAGTATATGTTAATCAAAACCTTTTTCTTTTCTCTCAGAGTTAAATTTTGTTATTGAAGGTGCCACTTTTGAATTGTTTTATCAGGAAGTGATATACTCTTCTTATAAATCCCACTGACATGATTAATAATCTAGTCTTCATTTTGCTAAAAAAAAATTGTTGCTATTTATCATTTGTTGTTTTCCTTTAGCATAGACGATTGGGGGATTGGGTTTTACTGAATCATTTGATAGCTTGTCTGCATTCTATGGAGATATTTTATAAAATCCGTTTGTAAATACATGGTGTGGCAGAAATACCTCCCATGTAATATTAAGACATTAGTGGCAATGGTGTCTTCATCTAGCTAATGTCTTGTCATTATGTGGGTGTGTATTTCTACCACTCCCTGCATAAATCTGAACATGTCCAAATTTCAAACAAGGTCATTGAAAACAAACAAAAATAGATAAAACTTGTTTGTCACCAACATATTTCAGAAATATTTTGCCAGTTTCAATCAAAAAAAATAATGCTTAACACTGCCAAATTCTAACCTAATGAGATTAAGCCTACACCAATTACAAGAGAATGATGGCATTATGTGTAAAAATGAATTTGAAATAATCATCACCTCTGAATATATTGCAAAAATTTTTTTTTTTTTATCATTATTTCTGAAGGCGTGGGGGGGGGTGCACTACAAAACTATTCTTTCAATCTTAAGATTGACAAAAACTTCTTGCTAATATTATTTTTTTTCTTTTTTCCCCCCCAGTTGAAATTGCCAAGCTGACACGAGAGGGTGGAAAGACCAAAATTGAAATCTTGTCGGCTGATTATGTGGAGAAATTGATAAAAAAACATGAAGAGGAAGAAGATAAATCAGAAGCAGAGAAAAAGAAGGAGAAACCAACAACTTCATAGTCTCATGTTTGAGTCTTTAATTTTTACTTTTCACTGGCAGCCATCTTTGCCTGCAGCAGTTTGTTAAAAATGTATCCAAGTAAAAAAGAAAAACAAAATTTGAAGAATTTGTCTTATTATTCAATTACTTTATTTATTTTTTTTTATCATTTATAGTTGTGAGCAACATAATAAAAAACACCATTTAAATGTTTTCAGATAAATTTAAAAAGAGGATATTAAATCTTAAAAATTATTAAATACAAAAACAAATTAAACTTTACAATAATCTTTATAAAAATAACATCCTTATTTTAATTTAAGTGTTTCAATTAAATTGTCTTATATGGAATTGTTAATTTTTAGGCTCAGTTTAATTTTTCATTAAGAATTCTGCTCTCTGTATAAAGAATTTTAGCACATCCAAACTATTCCCATTCTAAAAAAAAATTCCAATTACCTCCCTTGCATCATGACTAAACTTTCTATTTTTTTAATTCTCTCCCTTGTATTTTCAATTTAGTTTGATTAGAAAACAGATGGACCATTCAAATTTTTAACAAAAAAAAAATATAATTTTCTTGACTTGTTTATTAAAGCAAAATTAGTTCTTATAATTCAATCCTAATGTTTTTCCCTATTTAGATATAAATAATGAAGATCGTGAGTAGAGGTTCTCAACGGGGAGGGGCATATGGATCTTGGGGGGGTCCATGATAATATTTTAGTGGCCCATAGAGCAATTTCACATCAGGGCAGTTGTTACAGCTGAGAAAAATTTCTACAGTAATCTATGCCATATTAAAATAGAAAAACAACTCTAAAACTAGCAGAAAACAAGATCAAGTAATGTTTTGATAGTAAAGTTGAATAAAAACTGAGAAGCATATATAAAAGGATTTTATAATATATATATATATAATATTATTTATTTATATATTAAATTAATTTAATATGAATTGTATAAGGATTATATATAAAGGAAGGCTTAACAGTATTAACCTCTTCAATAGCAGGAGCAATTTCTGGCAAAACCATCCATTTTGAGGGCCTAGATATATACTAGTGTGCATAAATGTTCCATAGAATTTAGTTGTTAAATCCAAGTTTATTTACATTAAATTAGTTTTATTTCAAAATAAAGCATATACATTTACTATATCTATGATACAATTCCTGACCTTATCTATTAGTAAAAAAATAAAATGAACTTTCCTTAGGTGTAAAAGAATTGGTCCATGGGTAAAAAATGCTTGAGGACCACTGATCTAGAGAAAAATGGATGGAAAGTGTGATTGATGTAGTTGTACAATTGGTACTGCTACCAGAAATAATCATTTTTGTTATTACTATAGATTAACCCTAGAACACTGACCATCAATTAAAGTTACACCACTATTACCCATGGGTATATCCTACCCAATTTTGAAAATATCAAAAAAAAATATTAAATATAAATTTTTATTTGAAATATTTTCATGCAGATATTAGGTTGGTGCAAAAATAATGACGTGATAATGTCGTTTTTGACGTATTTTTTAATGTCAAAAACGACATTATTACGTCATTATTTTTGCACCAACCTAATACTTCAAATTTTGTACTTTGAGTTTGAAAAACATTATTTAGGTAAGAAAATCAGGTACTGAAAATTAAAAATTTGTGCTGGGTACTATATACCCAGGGTTAGTGTTCTAGTGTTAAGCACTCCAAACCAAGAATATCTCTTTTTTTTTTTTTATTAAATATTATAAATGAATACAAAAACAAATTAGTTAAATTTTGCTACAAGATTCAAAGAAGAATTTGCAATATTATTGGTCCTGATCTGACATCTTGGCTTCAGTCACTTTCCCCCTGCCAAAAGGTTGCCTCTCTTTTCTATAAATACTTTCATGGTAATTGTTCAAATGAGCTATTCACTATGGTACCTAGAGTTTTTGAATTTAAGCGCATAAGCCTGGTGTCGAGATCTCATCAATTTACAGTTGAGCTGGCTAGATGTAGCTGTAAGTTCTATGCTAATAATTTCTTCTCTTGCTTGTGAAACTCTTTCCAGCCAACTTTAATCTGCAAAAACTTAAATGCAATGTCAATCACTATCTACTGTCCTCCTGAATACTTTTTTCTCTTTCTGCTCATCATTATTGTTTCTGTTCCTAATTCTTCCCCACCCTGGAGCCTCTTACATTTTAGTGGCATTGCTTCTTTGCTTGGGGTGATTTCAATTAATAAAAAAAAAATAATTTTTATAAAAATCAACTTTTTCATTTAAACATTTTTTTTTCTGAATTCATCTAGTCTCATAATCTTCAAATATGTGGCTTCTTTCCTGTCAACATTTTGTGAAATATCAAACCTCACCTTCTCCAGGTTTTATACATTTTGGTGCAAATCCCTTTTCACATAAAGACAACAAACCTTAAGTTACTTCTAGTATGCTTGTAAAATCCAAATTACCTAACTTGGTTATCTAAGCTTTTCAGATGAAGATGTTTTTGTTTTTTCAATTTGTTCACCCAATACAAAGCAGAAGGTTACTGAAAGAACATGGTGGAGGTAAGACGTGCTTATGAGGATATATAAGAAAGATAACCGCTGACCCTAGAGTTGAAGTTAAGATTCTAGTGATCATGATTGCTTTGACACAAGATTCTGTTCTACAAAGTAGCAGTTCTCGGAAATAAACTGTCCAATGGGAAGAAGGCATCACTGTGCATGGGGCATAGCGGGACTAAGTTGTAAAGGCCTGAACTGCTGGAACTAATGACTAACTACACTCATTAGTAACAAAGAAGAGGCTATCAACATTTCATCTGTGGGAAAGGGATGAAAATAATTCATCATCCACAAGGCCACAGACTTTTGAACTTTACCAAGGTTGAAAAAAGTGAGGATTGGGTGGCTGCAGCTCGGATATAATAGCATTACTCCCATCACAATCAGCCACCCGGAATAGATTCATTTAAATCCACACCAATAATTCTGTTACACTGGTTATAAAAGTTCCCTTATACACATTGTTTCATGCTAAATTTTTTTTTGTTTTTTATAAACTAAATAGATTTTCAAATGTACCAACAGAATTTCAAAAGAATCTCTGAAGTTAGAAATGGTTTTGGTTTTGGAAATAATTTTTGCAGATTAGCATTCATGAGACCTTTCTCAAGTCCACAACATTTTTCAGAATCAAAAAAATATTGATTTTTTTTTTTTTTTTTTATCATTTTAGAAAGAGTCCTCTTCATAATATCAATACAATGTAAAATTGATCCCTGACTTTTTACAGAGTTATCTGGACTTACAAAAAGTTTTGTTTTTTTTCTCACATTCTTTTAAATAAAAATATGGATTTATGCATTTGTACTTAAAAATTGACATAAAAATTATACAGTGTAACCCGGATATAAGAGAGATTTTCTCTGGTCCCAAATTAGTTCCCATACTTACCTAAACAAAATAGACCAAACCCAGATATAAGAGACTTTGTCTCTGGTCCCGACAACTCTCTTATATCCGGGTGACACTGTATATCCATTTCTTCTTCATTTAAGATCATTGTGTTTGGTATTTTCAAGCAGTTCCTTTATATTATCTGTTCTGTAGTACTTGGCTTGTGCTTGTTAGGATTTCCTACAGATTATCAATACAACCGTGTATGGTTCCAGACATGGTATAGACAATGGTAGACGTGTGATGAATAGGCAGTTAAGATATTCAAAGTGGTTGGATACATGTTAGGCAGTCTTTGGAAAACCTAAATCTAATTTTTGATCTGTCAATTTCCTTTGATTGTGGTCCACATAGATCCAGTATTTTCAAGTGTCCTGTTTATTGAAAACCTTTCCGAACATGAAATGCTTTCAACAGATTCCCTATTAAATTTGAATAGATGGTACCAATATTTTCTCAAAGCTTTGCTATTTCCTCACCCACGCGAAGAACGTGTTGTTAAATCATTCGAATAAATTCTTGACAAATGTCCAAATTTCAAACAAGGTCACTGCCAACAGGATAGCCTCAAGGGTGAGTTTCTATTCATACATGCACAGTAAGGTTGCCAAATTACATCCAGTTCATACAACCAGTTATTGAGATATTCAAAATGGCCAGTTACTTTCCAGATGGACTTAGGCCTGAGGCTTTCTGGCCTTTTTAAATGTAGAAGATTCTTTATTTTAGAAAAACAAATAAACACTAAACTACTTGCATTATGAGTCAGGTCAAATAGTTCAGAAATCTGGAAATTAGACTTGCATAAGCATTGATTTTGAACCAATGTCCTCATCATTTTTTTTTTCCTTCAAACATTTCAGCTTCTGCACTCTCTGACCTTCATCTTTCAAGGAAGGCTGGAGAGTTGAGCAGCAGGAAACAAATTAGTCTGGATCAATCAATATACCAAACTTATGAAATTCATTTCTGAGATGAGAGGAATTAGCATTATTTACGCACAGATTGTTGGCATCATCTTTGTTGTTACATTGTTTTGGTTATTGCACCCAGCATTATGGGGTAATGGATATTGGCTCGGAATGAGAAATCAGAGAACCAAGTTCGAATTCCAGTCAGATTCATTATATTTACTTACGCACAAATACCCTCAGAAAAAATTATGAATCCACCTCTTCCCCCAGTTATGGGTTGAATAGCAGAACAGATAGAGTCCTATAGCCTTTGTTGGCAACCAGTCTACCACAGAAAGAAACAGTAGCCTCCTGTGGGGAAATCTTCTGCCTAGTTAGTTATAAATCAAAACAGACATGATCACCTAAGCTTTGGGTTACATATGACACTTAACTGACTGACCTGACCAAAACATTGTGATAACAATAAAGACCAGGAAAATAGTTCACAGATAAATAATACTTAAGAAATTGTTTCCTTCAATCAATACACCACTGATTCTGAACAGAATATACGCAAATACGTTTTGTGATTTTAGAAGTTTTCTTGTGATTTTATTAATCTCATTTAATTTGATATTTAAGCTGACGATCCTAAATACAGGAATCACATAAGGACATGAAATCATCACAAGACATTCATCGAAAAAAGGTCACAGTAGAAGCTAACAAAATATCAAACATTTTTATGTATTAAAAAATTGTAAAATATCTATTGTTTTCTCTTTTGATTTTATTAAATGTTTTTTTTTTAAGTTCTTTTTTGTTTTTGTTTGTAAAATAGCATCAAGCGGAAAAGTCATTTCAATGTTTCATTTGGGGAAACAAAACCTTTCTGAGATTTTTTTCAAACACTTTCTGGGATGAGGAATTATTATTTGAATTTGGACTAACATCTTCATCTTTGTTGTTAGTAACACAATGTTTCAGCTGTTGTAACCTCCAGCCTTTTACAGTTATCATCCAGGTTTAGGGAATTCCAAACTGAACACTTTATTCAATCTATAGAGATTGATTATTCACATTCTACTGTCCACATGTAGGGATATAATAATTGTGAGTTCAATCCCTAGGCTGTATAGAGTCAGTAGAAACAAAAACATTTAAACAAAGATGGGATATACCTAGACATGGACAATGAAATGAGCATAATCTATCCCTGGAGATTGAATAAAGGGTTCAGTTTATATTTCCTTAAAGATGACCTGGATGGAGAGATATCTGAAGGCTTGGGGCACAATAGTTGAAACGTTGTGATACTAACAAAAAAGATGAGGATATTAGTCCAAATGTAAATCTTATCTTTATTGTTTTTTAACGTTTCAGCTGATAGATTCTTCAGCTTTCCTCAGATGTTTATTATATCCAGCGGTTTTATAAATCTTTTTTTTTCGTCTCTTCAACTAGAACATTGTAATATTACAGTCACAAGATTGAGTAGCAAACACTTGAGATTGGAATATTGTTAAATGGTTTTTGGTTTTGTTTTTTACTGACAGAAAATTTTTTTTTTTTTTAATTTTCATGAAAAATGTCACTTTTTTAATTCCCCTGTCATTCCACTATACAAACAATAATATTGACAAAATATCTTGTCAGTCAATCCAAGACAATTATTGCTTTTATCATTATAAATTATCTTGACTTCCTATCTGATTTACGACCAGAGTAAGAAGTCACAGAACAAAGAAATCACTTGTACGATGATATATATTCAGCTATTCCAAGATAATCATTGCTTACCCTGGCATTGTCACCATCTATAAATTGTCTTAAATCACTATCTGATTTCCTACTAGAATAAGATGACTCAAAACTTGTTAAAAATTTCAACATTTTTTCAGAAACATGTATGGCAAGTCTTCACGGGTGTCACCATTTTTCAAAAATCAGTATATCTATATTACATTTACCAGTGATAGGTATAAGTAATGCGACTTTATGAAAATATACAGGACAAGAGTTAATGACCAAGCATTAGTTCTTAAATTAGCAAAAATTTATCAGTTACTTCAACAGAAAGAAAATCTGACAGTTGCTAATGTTTGAAGTTTCATGTTAGTTGAGAGGCAGTGACGTAGCTTGAGTGGGGAGAGTCTGCTCCAGGCATCAATTTTATGCCTGTTGTAGGCTACAAGCCTGTATCAGCTGTATTGAAATAAAAGTGGTTTTAATGTCAGTACAATACTCACAAGGATTTTTTTTGATTTTGAGTAACTTAAACTATGATATATATATTGGCCTATCTACACAATTGACAGATGAAATAGTTTGGAACAATGTCATTGAAGAATTTGCCAACAAAAAAGCAAGAAAAGTTACTTTGTAGAAAGTTGTAATTTTCATTTCAGAAATAAAGATGGTTCTAATTTTTTACACTGTTTTCGCCATATTTCATTTTTGCTTTTTAACCATTACTAATAAACTTTAAGTATGTTTGGTGTGTATTTAAAGCATGCTATATTTGAGTATGTGGAAGTAATATTATAATGGTACATGAACTAGTTTTATTACTTAAAGAATGAGTCACTATGCAATATGTATTTTTTATAAGGGCTGACAAACTCAAGAATTGCCCCAGGCAACACACTCCCTAGTTATGTCACTGTTAAGAGGATGAAGAAAAAAAAAACAAACCACTTTGTGATTTTTTTTACACCCCATAAAATGTAACGTGAGGAAAGGCAAAGACTATATTAGCGAACATGTTTTTCAAAAACAACAAAGATGAAGATACTAATCCTAAAAGGTTTATGCAATATTGAAAATACTTCATCTCAGTATTTTAGTAAAAAAAGAAAGGAAGCATTCCTGATATATATCTGTCTGTTTCTTCATCTTCCTCAAATCTGTTCATACCTAAAAATGTTTAAGATAAAGAAAAGTAAGTTAGTTTTCAAACATGACATACATATATAAATATTTATGAATAAAAATGACAATAGGAAAACTAGTAATTGCTGACATGTTTTGTCCAATGTGGACTTTATCAAAGCAAAATATGAAATGAATATAATTTAACAAGGTAACTAATAAAAACAAAAACAGAATGTTACTAGCAACTGGAATGTAGAGAAATGCTATTTTCATATTGTTAACTGAAAATAATGTCAGTATATGTCACGTGTGGAGAATATTGTCATTATATCTGTGTTGATGTATTCAACCATTTTCTAAGAAAAATCGAGAAATCGGAGAAATTTTCATATATATATATATATAAGCAAGTGTAAATGGATAAAATCCGACAGAATGTAGAAATTTTGAAAAAACAAACAAAAAATCCATAAATGTAGTTAAAATGAAAGAATTGTCGACGTCAGACGTTTTAGTTTTTAATAAACCATTTTCAAGACAAAATTCATTAAAATACAAATTCAGTTCAATATGACGAAAACGATGGACATAAAAACACAAGTCTTATCCAAATCTGTTTTTATTAAAACCGAAACGTTTTTATATTCATCATAATTCGTTTTAACTAATTTTTTTTGCTAAAATTTCAAATTTTATATATATTTTTATATATTTATATATATATATATATATATATATATATATATATATGAAAAAACATAATGTTAAAAAAAACAGTTCACTTTCAAAACAGTCATGGTAATTAAAGTGCTAAATATCAAGATATAAAGCATTAAGAGCAACAAATAAAATTAAATGTTCAACTTATCTTCCCAACTTAGAGTTTCACAGATATGCTATCCACTCATATATAGACAAACATTTTTAATTACACACACACACAGATAGGGAAGGCTGAAAAATTCTAAGCCTGGCCAAGAAAGGATTCAAAACAAGAAAAAAAAATGTATTCAGTTGTTTGATCAGATTTTGGGAAGGGCAATAATTTTCCAAAACCTTGTGTGTGTTCATTTTACACACACACACACACAATGTTTCTCTTCTTTACTTAATATTATCAGCCGACTTTTTCGTTAACTAAAAGAGCATGTCTTCCCCAAAGTGATCACAATAAGTAGTTTCCTCTCTACTATTACTGATACTACTAATATACTATTATTATTATTAATAATAATTCCATTAAAATGTAAAATAATTTATAAAAATTCAGTTGATAATGAATGTAAATTGTTGCAATTTTTTCTCTCTTTTGCTTAATGTTATCGCCTGGTGATTTCCTGTCTAAAAGAGCTTGTCTTCCTAAATTGATCGCAATAACTGGCTTCCTCTTTTATTACTACTACTAGTAATAATAATAATAATAATTTGTTTATAATGAAAAATTATTACTAAAGATGAATTAAATAATGACTATAAATTGTTTTGATTTTTATATGATTTGTTTAATGTTATCAGCTGGTTATTGTTATCTAAAAAAAAAAAAAAACCTTTCTTTCTAAACTGATCACAATAAGTGGCTTCCTCTATATTACTACTGCTGCTTCTACTACTATTAATAATAATAATAATAATAATAATTGTGTAATTGATACAATCATGAAACTTCAAGGTGATTTCCGATAAGTATTGTGAGTTTATATTATTCTGATTCAATATTACTGACAATAATATAGCAGAGAAAAAAGAAAGTACAATACATCAAGTGATTTTTTTATCAATTAATTTCAAAATAAAATATTAATGCTGATAACTGTATTTCATTAGAGACACACACACACACACACACAGAGACGAAGCAACCAAACAGCTAAAGGTGTGATTATGGAGAAAACCCACAAAAATGATGACAATAAAATCATTTATTTATCAGAAGGTAATAAGAAATTAATCTCTCCTCATCATTATTAAGTATAAGATGTCAGGGTGTGGCCACATCACACAGCATAACCACCTTTGCAAAACCACCATGCAAGGCAGTGTTAAAGGCGGATGCAAAAGGAACGGCAACACAGGAGCTGGTCTTGTCAACATCAAAGAGAGGATGGACATGACAATGCTGGAAATCCTTAGAGCCACTGCCAGCAGATCATCCTGGGGGAGGTTGTCTTTTCTTTTTGCCTTTAGGTCCCCGACTCCCTCCAACGATTAAAATAGTCAAGGAACTGATGATGACAATGATGATGAATAACAAAATGTTTATTATAGTCACAAGTTTAAACGTAAAAGATACTTTATTAACCCTACCCCTACCCAATCGCTGTAGGATACTACACAGTATGTATATGTATAGCTGGCCACTCGTATTCCAGGATACCCATCTACTAGAGCGGCTAGCCAATCCCTATCGCAGACGCTTGCTCAGGCGCATTTGTGTTTATTCAACACCCACAGAGCTACCTGTGGTTTATACTGCAACTATGCTGAGCAGACCTTAGTTACAGTTTCTTGGGAAGAGCATGTTATCTAGCATGATCAACAATTGGAACAAGGCCAGCACATTCAAACCCTCGGCCATCGACACCCACAAGGGTTCCATCTACCCAATTTAATTCACAAAGCTTGGGTCAACCTGTGGTATGGTTTTCAGTTACTTTCCAAATATGCCGCATGCTGGGATCAACCCCTCCAGTCTGATAACATCAGGAAGTCTTCTTCCTGGCAAATCGACCATGGTGAGATTTGAACCCAGGTCTCATGGTCAGAATGTAAACATTCTAACCACTCAGTAGGGTGTGTGTGTGTGTGTGTATGTAAAAAAAAAAAAAAAGGTCTGTACATATAGGCCAAACAATTTTTTAGTCAATTTATACTTAATTAAAAATTGGTTAGAAACCAGTGAACGATTGGATTGGAAATTGTTTTAATTTAATGTATTAATTGTATTGAACTACAAAAGTTGTGCTATGGTGGGACAATTTTTCTGTTACAGCAGCAAAGATTCTGATTATTTTTTTTTCTGACTGCTACAGCACCTCCAATATCAGTTGCAGGAAACAAGTGTTACAGCCTTGAAAACTGTGCTAAAAGTTTTAAGATGGAAATCAGGGTCTGCATTATTAACTCCACTCTTTAAACCAGGGATTTATGTGTCATGGCACAGTAATGTGGGATTTTGGCAAGAATGTCTCATAATAAGTTTTATATTCGAGTCTGTAAGCATTTACTTGGTCAAGAATAGATAACTTTTCATCTTTTATATTCGAGTCTGTAAGCATTTACTTGGTCAAGAATAGATAACTTTTCATCTTTTATATTCGAGTCTGTAAGCATTTATTTGAATTGGAAATAAATGTTGGTTATTTGAATCCTTAAGCATTTACTTGGTTCAGGGATGGGTAAATATTAATCATTTCAGTCTGTAAGCACTTACTTGGTAGGCAACCCCTTTTGGCATATGCAGTGGTAAGGAATGCCTTAATCCTCTACTGGGGATTTAGTCAACATCTTCTAGGCACTACAAACAGGGTGGTTTAATATTTAGCTGCCTCATGGAAAGAAGAAGAGAATGTAACTAACTCTTTGTTCACTCATCACAATGGATCATTATAATAGACAATGGTGAAATCTAGTGAGGTAAAAATGATCCAATCAAAAGAGTTTTGGTAGAAAAGAAAAAGAATAAAATTAAAATTCACCTGGATTTCTGTGACTGGATTAAATCAGTAAGCTCTTTGAGTTCAGGGTTGATGCCAAGGAGGCACTGCAATCGTATATAGGAGAAACTCAGCCAACGCTTGAAATTTTCTAAGCTGAAAAACACAAGTGAATCACAAAATTTGGTTGATATGTGATGTTGAATAGTTTTGATCATAATTGTAAAGATCGTGCATTCAAAAGCCAGAAACAACATACTCTCGAATTTGACAGAGTCCAGTAATGAATAAACAATTATTTTATGTAAGAAAAATGTATTCTTATATTCTTATTAAATGTACCAATATTACAAAAAAAAAAAAAAACCAACAACACTTTTAGTCAAATGCTTTACTTACCTGATAAGTAATTCAAATTTTAAAAGCTGGAAAGAGGTTTTCATCTTTTTCAAAAAGCCTGACTGCTGGGCACTACAAATTCCTGAGATAGACCTGAAAAATGACACCAAATTTTGATTGGCATGAGTAATACTCCAAATTAGTTTTCTTCATTCGTAATTCTGATAAATAATAACTTATCCAGTATTTCTCCGACCTAACATCATATTTTATAAGAGAAAGTGACATAATTTTCACATATAAAATATCAATCCAAACATTATTCAAAGTATTTCCTTATAAATATATGTAACAAACTTCATTCCATTCTTCTTCTATATACCATGTCCCTTCAGGATGTAGGCGATAATGGCTCTCCACATTTCCTTTCCCTTGTAGCTCTTTGTAAGATTTATCTTTTTTGCCATCATTTCCCACCTCCTGTTCCACCAGCCATTCACACAAACTGGAAAGGTAGGTGACCCGCTACTTTCCTGTGTCCAGTTTCCCTTCGATATGTTCTTTGAGTGACAAAATTTCCAAGCCTTCTTTCCTCAATATGCAACCAAGAAATTTCCCCTGTCTTTTTCTGATTCTGAGTCTTTTTTGTTTCCATTTTCCTTAAAACAACTTAATCTTCAAAAGATTTAAAAAGTAATGTCAATTGTTATCTTCTGTCTCTTTAATTTCTGTTCTTTTATTGTTCTCTCTCATTAATAGTGCTTTTTCTTTTTTTCACTCAGTAAGCTCTTGAATCTTAGTGGCTTTATCACCTTACTTGGGGTGGAAATTGTTAATACACACACACATTATATATATATATATATATATATATATATATATATATATATATATATATATAAAAATATAGTTTTATGGTATGCTATATTTATCGGTCAAAGTGCTCAATATCAGGGATAGAGCTAATCTAAGTGGACATTTACGTCAACACTCAACTACAACAGTCTGTTTCATGCTTAAACAGTGGCCTGAAGACTGCTGAGTGTTGACCTTAATGTCCACTTTATATATATATATATATATATATATATATTTTTAACAGTTTCTTCTCTTTCACTTGTGGATCTCTCTTCTGGTTTCTTGCTTTATAGTCAATTTTAATCTTCAAAAATTGAAATACAATGTCAGTTGTTATCTTCTGTCTTTTTTTTATTGTTCACTCTCTTTAATAATAATTTTCATTCATTTTTTTTTTCACATTCTTTCACACTCAGTAATCTTAGTGGCTTTATTTCCTTGCTTGGGGAGATTAAAAAAATATGTTCTGACAAATCCAATTTCATGCTACCAGTATGTTTTTGAAATATTAACCAAATATAAATTTTACACCCCAAATGTATATTACACTCCCTGAAAGAGGTTCAACTCTCATAAGAAACAAAATAAAAATCACTTACCTGCGTACCATGATGGTGTATCTGTCAATTTGGTCTCCAAGCTCTTTCGTGATGGCACGAATCGTATTCAAATTCCTGGCAAAAAGAAATAAACATATCTTTAGTAACCTTACGTTAAAGCATATATTTATCAAAGTCTCTAAATTTGAGATAATGAGGAAGGCTAAAGAATGTATCTGTCAAAATGTAGTGATAAAATTAACAAAGTTGAGAATATTGGTCTGAACAACATGTGGAATAATGATAATGCCTTCTCTCTGAAATTGAGGCAAGAGGAAGGCCAAAGAATGCATCTGTCAAAATGTAGTGATAAAATTAACAAGAATGAAGATATTAGTCTGAACAACTTGTGGTATAACTTTTTAAAGAATCCTAAATCATTTTATTTTTTTAACTGTTAACTTGAAAGAGAAGAAAAATAATTCCAAAAACCAACCTGATGACAAGGATCATAGTACGTGGCATCTCTTTTAGAACTTGCATGATTTCATCAAAATGTTGGATGACATCACTCTTCATTTTTTCCATTTCTTCTGTGGTCAAACTACTCGGAAGCTTAACAGAAGTTCTCGTCACCGGTCGCTGGACTAAGATTTCACAAAAGGCCTCATAGTCTGCAAAAGAACAACATTCACATATTTAACTCTTTAAGTCCAACTGCTTTATATTTGTAGACAAACCATTTTGAGATTAATGTTTTCAGCATAAAAACTGGGATCAACATGGGGTGGGGAATTGTAATGGAAATCCATCATAATGTTGAAATCTTGACAGAAAGCTAGAAGCAACTTGGCACTACTTAAATATAGTGGTCCACTCGTAAGAAAATAGAGAAAATCTTTTTGAAATAATTTTTGTATATTAGCACTCTTTAAACCTTCCTTAGGCTGCAACAATTGTCAAAATAAAATAAAAAAACTTATTGATTTTTTATTGGTCTAGGAGGGATCCTGTTCTTAATATGGATACAGTATTTATATAGGAATAAAGTGTCGCTGCCGACACTTGAGTTTGAACATAGACCGCCAGTGAGCAAACACAGAAGATCCCATTATTGAATTAAGTGGATTATGTGACCATGGGGGAAACGCATAAGTAGGAATTAGCTTGGTGTCCAATTGATCACCATTTCTAGTCTATCCTCTATTACTATACGGATCACTATTTTCTATACTATCCACTGTACTATTTCTCTATTCAGATCACTATACAGATTACTTGTTGAACGAGAATTATCGAGCAAATACTATTAGTGCAAGTGTTATTCAAAGGTGTCTGACACCAGCATTGTTCAACGGTGTACTATAGAAAAGAACTTACAATTACATATAGCCAATTCAACTGTAAACGAAGAAACCTTGACACCAATCTAGTACTGAGCTTAAATCCATCTAGGTACGATAGAGCAAAGTTCACCCGAACAATTACCATGAAAGTATTTACAGAAAAGGCACAAACAAGCTATGTTATGGCAGTGGGAAAATGAATGAAGCCGAGATACCAGGTCAGAACCTATAACATTGCAGATTCTTCTTTCTAAGTTACTATGCGGTAAAAATACTATTAAGGAGAGAGAACGATAAATGAACAAGAATTAAGAAGACAGAAGATAACTGATTTTGCATTTAAATTTTTGAAGATCAAAATTAACTGGGAAGCAAGAAGCCAGAAGAGAGTTCCACAAGCAAGAAGTGCGATAGAAGAAACTGTTAGCATAGAACATACAGTTACATCAAGCCATTCCAACTGTAAAATGATGAGACCTTGCCACCAATCTAGTACTGAGTTTAAATTCATAAAGTCTGGATACCATAGTGAAGAGCTCATCTGAACAATTATCATGAAAATATTTATAGGAAAGACACAGGGAAGCTATTTTAGGGTCGTGGGAAAGTGAATGAAACGAAGATGCAAGAACAGGACCAGTTGTGGTATTCAACAGCTAAATGAACATATTTATTTTACTGAAATAAAGCAAGTCCAGTTGACCATTGCTGACAATTTCAGAAACTACAGGGTGACCCAAAAAAATGGGAACTTTTAACAATCCAATAAAACCAAGAGTGATGGAAGAAAAATATTTTATTCATAGTAATTGAAACCTTAAAACATGCCATTTAAGAAACAATGATGGAATTTTCATTTTTTAAAAGATGAGATGGCGTCCTCCTGTACGAATACATTCTTGAAATCTGCTGTTGAGATTCCTCATTGACTGCTGCAACATCTCAGCTGGGATACTGTGAATTTCATCTTGAATTCTAAATGGCGAAATGTTTACTTGCTCAAGGTCACTGTCTCGCAGTGTTGCCACTTGCTCATATCTAGCAATACACACTTCAAAAATTCCCGTTTTTTTGGGTCACCCTGTATAAACAACTTTTTTTTTCTATCCTCTACCAGTCGCAATGATGGAGAAAGCATTACCTCAAACCACTGCCAGTGAGACACGCTGCAAGAGCCACTCCGTTTCATGAGACTCGTCCCTTAATCAAGATGCAATCACGTCAATCCTCCAAAGGAATGCCATCGAATGAGGGCCAATAACCCCAGAAGTCTCCACTGCCACAGGAGTAAAAAAAAAATCTATCAGCAAGAGAAGAATATTTAACTATTTTTTTCATCTCTGCGTCCCGGGCGACAGACCCCAGCTCAACCATGGACCTGATCAAATTACCGACTGAAAATGTATCCACACAGGTCGCATCCCAAATCAATGACTTCCCCATTTTAAAAGGGAAAATGGTAATGCCATCCGGCCGCTTTCCATTGCCACGGTCGAGGCCTACAGGTTCGATTTTACTTATTATTATCTAATAGAAGTAATGTTAATGTTGATTTAATAAAATGTAATGATTTTTAGGAAAAGAAATGATGCAATGCTGATTTCAATATAAGTCTTTAATTATCAAATTTTATTCTATTCATTACCAAGTATACATTTATAAATCTAGCATTTATCCATGCATTGAATATTGCTGCCATATCTGGTCAGGTGCTCCCACTATCTAACTCAAGATTCCCAACAAAGTCCAAAGACGGTTGGTAATCTAATCAAGCCTGACCTGGTATCTCAACTTCAGTCACTTTCTCACTGATGTGATGTGGCTTCCCTCTGTCTTTTCTACAAATATTTTCATGGCAATTCTTCTGATGAGTTTTTTATCCTGCTGTCTCAGTGGCATGAATGTGCTACTAGATTGGTAACTTGGTCTCACTGTTGAACTAGCTAGATGTAATCATCAGTTCTATTCTAATGGTCTCTTTTCTCACACTTCTTACCTGCAGAACACCCTTCCAATTTCTTCCTTCCCTACCATCGACAATCTTAAAAAATTTGAATGCAATATCAATTGCCATCTTCTGTCTTCTGTATACTCCGGCTTTCTTCAGGTGGTTGGAATGTCAAACTGAACCCTTTATTTCACTCGCTGGGGTAGACTGTTCTAGTTCCACGTGCCATGCCTAATGAATGTCAGTTATCAGTTATCTCCTGTTAATTCCCATTTTCAAGTTCTCCACCACCTTAACCAGGTATTGAACTCACACTCTTTGGGTCCTGTCACTGGATCTAACTAATGCCTTTATCCAATATACCATGTGTCCTCATGGCACAGTGTACAATGGCCAAAACGTTGTGATAAATATGGCAACAAAGATGAGGACAATAGTCCAAATAATGTAAATAGTGTACATAATAGCTCATCTCAGAAATATAGACAGATACTGAAGGTCCGAAACGTTGTGATAAATACGACGACAATGATGAGGACAATAGTCTGAATAATGTAAATAGTGTACATAACTCATCTCAGAAATATAGACAGTGAATAATCTGATAAACAAAAGCGATTTAATGATTTCAATATGTTGGCACACTGACATATTCCTTTTAAAAAAGGTAAAAGGAACAATAAATCTTGTGAGCGTTAATAATAAACTGACACCCATTTTGAAAAATCAATAAGCATGAAATAGCACTATTAACATGTAAATAAAACCAAAATGTTATTTTGTGTGTGTGTTTAAACCAATGACATCCTTGCTTTTGTATGTAAATATGTGAAACAAAATAATTCCTACATTACCTTGAGAAAATCTCTCAGAGGATGAAATGCATTGGTTAAGAATAGTTTTTCCTCTTGTCTTTTTATTCATTTTGTTTCTTTACAGATATACACTATCTGAAAATAATTTACCCATACTTACATACATACATACACAAATAAGAGAATGTATTAAAAATCCAGTTTGTAGCATTTACTTTTTTAAAAAGTGCTCAATACAAAATAGAGCAAAATATTATTATAATATTTTTATTATAATAGATTATAATAAAAACATTTTACATTGCTGCACAAAAGCTTTCATGTTTCAATACTATGATTGTCAGGTGATGGTAGAAGCTTTTGGGTAGCAATGTAAAAATGTTTTTATAATATTTTATAAATATATCTGTAAAAGGACAATATGAATAAAGACAAAAGGAAAACTTATCTTAACCAATGTATTGTTTCCTCTGATGGACTTTATCAAGGCAAATGTAAGGTTTTTGATTTGCAACAAATATTTATAAGCAAAAATAAAAATGTTGTTAGTTTTTCAATAACATTTACTCACTTTTGTTTATTAGACATTAAATTATATCACTTAGCATCCTCCATAATTTACCTTGACTTTTCAGTTTGCCTGATGGATATTCCTTTGCTTGGGCTGAAACGATTAAAAAGAAAATACAAAGAGTAAATTAACTCTTACTTGATACTCCTAACATTCTGGAGTACTCTTGCATTGCAGCCTCATCCTTCATAACAATGGCTTTGAAGAGTTCACATAAAGCAAAACGTTCGTCATCTTTTAACACTTCGTACAATCCATGGTCTAAAAGCACCAATTCACCTCGACCACTCTTGCCTTTCCGCACAAAAACTGAAAAACACAATGAATGAAATTTTGGGGGAAAAAAATAGCAAATGTGCTGGCATTAAATGATAATAATATCCAAACTGTCAAAAACTAGAGTGTTGCTCATCACAGTTTTATTATCAGGAATATACTTCTGTGATTGAGGATAATATAAGGTTTTGTTTTTTTTTATCACATCTGGTCATCCATATTGTCCCTGTCTCATGAAACTCAAAAATTTAAGTGGGATTTCATCATATATGGGTAAAGAAAGCTTATTGAATACCCACTAGAACTTTGATAAATAACAGAGACCCACTGGAAAAAAAAGTGATTCTGACTCTGTTTTAAGAAAAAAATGTAAGACATTTATTCTTCAAAATCTAATTAGATGATTTGTTATACCATACCTATGGACTATAATGGGTATGTCCCAATCCTCATAAATAAGTGAAATATATTGTACATTATTTACATTATTCGGACTATTGTCCTCATCTTTGTCACCATATTTATTACAACGTTTTGGCCGTAGTACGCTCCAGCCTTCTTCAGATGGTTGGAATGTCAAACATAACCCTTTATTTCACTCACTGGGGTAGACTGTTCTAGTTCCACGTGCCATGTTTAATGGATGTCAGTTATCAGTTATCTCCTGTTAATTCCCCACTGAAAGTTCTCCACTGCCTTAACCGGGTATTGAACCACACTCTTTGGGTCCTGTCACTGGAACTAACCAATGCCTTTATCTACTGTGCCATGTGTCCTTAACTGACATCCATTAAACATGGCATGTGGAACTAGAACAGTCTACCCCAGTGAGTGAAATAAAGGATTAAGTTCAACATTCCAACCACCTGAAGAAGGCCAGAGCATACAACGGCCGAAACGTTGTAATAAATATGGCGCCAAAGATGAGGACAATAGTTCAAATAATGTAAATAATGTACATAATACCTCATCTCAGAAATACAGACAGATATGTACAGTATCAATGGGCCAATTATATCTACAAGGAAGCGACTCAGAGGGTGGCACACAGAGCCTTGGCAACTAACAATCGGCCTGAGTGGAATACTGTCTTTGTGAATCTTAGGGAGACCGTATATGTGAGGTAACTTGGTGTAACGCTGCGATAACTGCCTATAATGCTTTGGTGCAAGTGATCCTTGTTCTTGATTAGGATCTGTGACAGTTTGCGTTCTGTTTTCATAGTAGGATCTTTCTTCACTATGCTGTAGCTACCATAACCACCTGAAGAAGGCCGGAGCGTACAACGGCCAAAACGTTGTGACAAATATGGCGACAAAGATGAGGACAATAGTCCGAATAATGTAAATACTGTACATAATACCTCATCTCAGAAATATAGACAGACAGATATGTACTTTAAGCATGATAAAATATTTTTATAATTAATTTTATGCGATTGTCTTGAAATTAAAACCGAAATGAAAACTTCAAAGATATTTAAAATACTAAAATACATTTTAAATTTGTTGGAAAACAAGTCTATAATCATTGCTACAATTTGTAATGTTTTTGGTATCAGCCTAGTTGAAATGAACAACACAGAAATTATCATTTTATGCGGATATAGTTTGGGGGGTTATATATCATATATACTCGTTTAATGCACAATCTTGCATATCATGTGACCCCCAAATTTTCATAAGAAAAATGATATTATCATCTATCTTGTGTATCATGTGAGTTCCTTTTTTAAGAGATCAAATTACAATAGACGAACCTCTTTTTCTCTTTATCCTAACTTCTAGTTAAATAAATTCAAAAAGTAATAGTCCCAATCCTCATAAATAAATGGAATATATTGTCTGAAGGGATTCACTTCTATCTCACCACTAGCAGTTGATTACTTACCACATGCTCCTGGCGAATCTTGCACACTGTTCCTGTTATAAATATTATCGTTACATTTCCAACATTCATTTTGGTTATTCATATTCAGTAACCTTTTCCTAGGTTACAACATAATTAAATTTAAATCCAATTAAGTCATCATTAAATTAACTAATTTAATTTTTGGTTATTGCTTACTATTGTCAATACTAAAAAAGTCTTTCTGGTATGTTCCTTATTCAAGTATTTTTTTTTGTATCTGCAAGTTGCCATGAATCAGCCAAACAACACATGTAGCATCTGAAATAAGTTTGCCCAATTCCGTCTTATGAAAGAAAGACAAATCTTACAAAAGGCCAGTAAATGTCTTCCACAGTCAAAAGGTTAAAAAGAAAAGAAAGTTTTATAACATAAGGAAAAGATTAATTTCTGCCTGAATTTCAGAAATGAGGAGTTATCAATATTTACACTATTTATATGTCCCGTCTTTGTTGTTGTTATCACAATATTTCAGCCGTTGTGCACTCCTGATGAAGTCTGAAGGACAGAGTTGAAATGTTGCGATACCAAAAACAAAGATGAAAACAATAGTCTGCATGTAAATAAAAAAATTAAGTCATTTTTTTAAAAAAGAAAAAAAAAGAAAAAAGAAACAATTGTTGTATTTGATAATATATAGCAGTGTTTCTCAAACTGTCAGATATGGCATACTGGCAGTTTTCTTTTTCATCATGTTAGGGACCAGTGAGTGATGTTTTTTTAATCAGGCTGGGGGGTGAGGTTGGAGGGCACTGTCCCCTAAAACATTTTTTTGAGATATTTTATATAGCAGAATCATTTTGAGACTATCTTTACTAAACACGAGGACATGGTGTCTTATTCATTCTAAGGTGTGTTATCATTGCCATAACACG